GGGGGGGAGAACCCAAGGTGCCTGCGCGTGCTCTCCCCTCTCTCTCTCTTCGCTGTCCTCCTTGTTCCGGCTTTTAATCCGGACCCGCGCCTCGTTCGATCCTCCTTCCAGGCTTTGTGGTGGGTCATGCGGGCTTCCTCCAGTCCCTCCTGATGCTGGTGGTCGCCTATCTCATCATCTCCCTGACGGTCTTGTCTGTCTGTGCCATCTCCACCAACGGAGCAGTCCAGGCTGGCGGGGCGTACTGTATCCTTTTCTGGTGCATGCGCGCGCGTGCATGCATGCGCATGTGGAGGGAAGCAGCCCAACGGGCTCAGGAGCCTTGGCGATGGATGGAGCAAGAATGGACGGACGCTCGTCTAAGGAAAGGGTGACCTTCTGGGTTGATGGGCTGAGCCGGCGGTGGGAGCCCGGTAGCCGGGGCAGGAATTCAGCCACGAGGGGCTGGACTTTGAAGGGTGGGGGGTCCTGAGTCTGTGGAAACTGGATCCGGTCGGTTGGTGCCGGAAGAAGAGCTGGACGCCCGAAGGAAGGAAGCGTCGACCTTGAGCAAATTTACCGCTTCTCCGTTTCTCTGACGCCTACAATTCGTTCCGGTGCTGGTGCTTTAGCCGTGCCATCGGTAGAATCAGGTTGCCTCTGAGCTGGTGCAGAAAGCCTTCCCCTGCCAAACAGCCTCAGCCCCTTTGAGAGGTGGGACAGCAAGCAATAGCAGCTGTAGGTGGGGATTGACCTGTTCCAGTGAGGTGAAGCCTGGGGAGGGGCAGGACGGCATAGAGCAAACCTCCCTGACCCCCACCAGTGCCTGTTCAGATACCCTGGGGAGGGGGGAAAACGACGACCCCGCAGGGATGACGCAGTAGCGAGACCCTCCCCTAGGAAGGTTCCATCGTAGGTAATAATTGCAGGTAGACTGTCACTGAAGAAGGAGTCTCCTCTTGGCTGCGTGGTAAGACTCTTCTTCTGTGGGTCTGGAAGGCGGGTATCCCACGCTTAAGACCCACCACCTTTTGCCCTTAACTCCCCCCCCCCCACCCCAGTCATGATCAGCTGGGCCCAGAGTTTGGCGGGAGCATCGGACTCATGTTCTACCTGGCTAACGTCTGTGCTTGCGGCGTCTACGTCCTTGGCCTGGTGGAAGCCATTTTGGATGTCTTCGGAGCAGGTGGGTGCCAAGGCCTTTTGCAGGCGGGCAGATGGGGGGCTGCAGAGGGGCAGGAGGGTGTCCGTTGGGGGTCCTCTGGTGAAAGAGCCTGTCTCGCAGCCGCCGAACGCAGACTGTCACTCCCGCGTGCCTTTTTCTGTCCACCTCCACACACACCCCACTCCCGGTAGATGGGTCGGACCTTCCCGGCGCCAAGGCCCTCCCACAGGGCTACTTCTACAGCTTCCTCTACGGCTCGCTCGTCCTCTTCGTCTGTCTCCTTGTGTGCTTGGTGGGCGCCCAGATCTACTCGAGAGCCGCCTTCTTCATCTTCCTGGTCGTCAACGTCATCCTGGTCACCATCTTCGCCAGCTTCTTCGCCGTCTCCCCGAGGGAAATCCTGATCTCCCGGGACACCAACCAGAGCTTCAACGCGTCCTTCACCGGCTTCAACATTTCCACCTTGAGGGACAACATGTACGGTAGGGACCGCCGGGGCCGAAAGAGCTCGCTCGGCAGGGCTGAAAACAAACGCAGCAGCCCTTCTTGAGCAAAAGGCACCGAGTCTTATCTACAGGATGGGAAGCGGCGCAGGCGAATGTTTACATCCCCAGTTTGTTGCATGCTGTGTGCAGTGACTCTGACTTGCCCGGGAGATTTGGCGAGGAGCGCGGTGCAAGTTAGCCGAACCACCCGGCTGGGTTTCCTGACACCCACCAGGACATGGGTTTGAAGTTGCAGCTGCTGCTTTTTCTGAGTGGCATTCCCCCTCCTGGCCTGTTTTCAGAGAGGCGGCGATCCCACTGGTGCAGAAATGAGGGTGGAGGGAACCAACAGGCCATCATCGTTCCTGTATTTGCCGTCTAGGGGGGCTGGTTTCCTTTGAACCAGGGGCATGTGTCCCCCCCACTTTTGGGGGGTGGGAATGCGGGTGCCCCCCCCCCCGCTGAAATGGATGACATGTAAGACAGGGAGGCCAGCCTGTGAGGTGTTGCAGGCATGGAAGAAGGCGCTGCAAGAGAAGGTGTGGGAAGGGAAGAGACGACCCCGCAGGGATGACGCAGTAGCGAGACCCTCCCCTAGGAAGGTTCCATCGCAGGTAATAATTGCAGGTAGACTGTCACTGAAGAAGGAGTCTCCTCTTGGCTGCATGGTAAGACTCCTCTTCTGTGGGTCTGGAAGGCAGGTATCCTACGCTTAAGACCCACCACCTTTTGCCCTTAACTCCCCACCCCACCCCAGTCATGATCAGCCGGACGCTGGGCCCAGAGTTTGGCGGGAGCATCGGACTCATGTTCTACCTGGCTAACGTCTGTGCTTGCGGCGTCTACGTCCTTGGCCTGGTGGAAGCCATTTTGGATGTCTTCGGAGCAGGTGGGTGCCAAGGCCTTTTGCAGGCGGGCAGATGGGGGGCTGCAGAGGGGCAGGAGGGTGTCCGTTGGGGGTCCTCTGGTGAAAGAGCCTGTCTCGCAGCCGCCGAACGCAGACTGTCACTCCCGCGTGCCTTTTTCTGTCCACCTCCACACACACCCCACTCCCGGTAGATGGGTCGGACCTTCCCGGCGCCAAGGCCCTCCCACAGGGCTACTTCTACAGCTTCCTCTACGGCTCGCTCGTCCTCTTCGTCTGTCTCCTGGTGTGCTTGGTGGGCGCCCAGATCTACTCGAGAGCCGCCTTCTTCATCTTCCTGGTTGTCAATGTCATCCTGGTCACCATCTTCGCCAGCTTCTTCGCCGTCTCCCCGAGGGAAATCCTGATCTCCCGGGACAGCAACCAGAGCTTCAACGCATCCTTCACCGGCTTCAACATTTCCACCTTGAGGGACAACATGTACGGTAGGGACCGCCGGGGCCGAAAGAGCTCGCTCGGCAGGGCTGAAAACAAACGCAGCAGCCCTTCTTGAGCAAAAGGCACCGAGTCTTATCTACAGGATGGGAAGCGGCGCAGGCAAATGTTTACATCCCCAGTTTGTTGCATGCTGCGTGCAGTGGCTCTGACTTGCCCGGGAGATTTGGCGAGGAGCGCGGTGCAAGTTAGCCGAACCACCCGGCTGGGTTTCCTGACACCCACCAGGACATGGGTTTGAAGTTGCAGCTGCTGCTTTTTCTGAGTGGCATTCCCCCTCCTGGCCTGTTTTCAGAGAGGCGGCGATCCCACTGGTGCAGAAATGAGGGTGGAGGGAACCAACAGGCCATCATCGTTCCTGTATTTGCCGTCTAGGGGGGCTGGTTTCCTTTGAACCAGGGGCATGTGTCCCCCCCACTTTTGGGGGCTGGGAATGTGGGTGGGGGCCCCCCGCTGAAATGGACGACGTGTAAGACAGGGAGGCCAGGCTGTGAGGTGTTGTAGGCATGGAAGAAGGTGCTGCAAGAGAAGGTGTGGGAAGGGAAGAGGCGCCAAAGATGGTACGTGATGGGAGGGTGTAGTGGGGGGGGGCGTGGAAGGGCTTGGGTGACTGCAGGTCCCAGGAATCCTTGTCTGGGAGAAGAAGACCAAAAAGGGGACTTCCTGCAGAGAGAGGACGGCAACGGGGAATCCTCTTTCTCTTTCTCTCTCTCTGTCTCCTCCCTTCCTTTTCCCCACCTCTTGACTTCCTCCCCCTCTGGTCCTCCCCTGCAGCCATGTACTCCCGCGATTATACCACCAACAACATGATGTCCTTCGCCACCGTCTTCGCCGTCATGTTCAACGGCTGCACGGGCATCATGGCCGGTTCCAACATGTCAGGCGAGTTTCGGAAAGCCTTGCCAGGCGGCTCAGAAGGCCGGGAGAGGCGCACGAGAATTGGGCGGAATGAGGGGGGGGAGCTTCTCAGGGGCGGAAGGGGGTCCCTGTACACCTTTTGCAACAGGGCCTGGGGGTGTGTGTGGGGTGCAGTGGTTCCCCGCCTTGGGCAACCGCAGCATCCTTCGACGGCCATTTCCCAGAAGCCTTCACCACCGGCTGTGCTGGCCGGGGATCATGGTAGTTGCAGTCCAGGGACACTCGAATTACCACTGATGTTCGTGGTGTGAAGCTGAGGCTGCTTCTAATATTTCTACCCCTTCCTTCTGATGAAGCGTTCTGCATAACCTGGAGGCTGGTCCGTTCTCATGGCGTTGGCCCTCCATGAGGCCCAGCAGTGGCGTTTTGTCCTGCTTTCGTTTCCTTGTCTTTTGTTTCTTCTCGTGGCTCAGCCAAGTGACTTTGGCTTCCGTGTTTCCTTCCAAAGGGGAGCTGAAGAACGCCAGCAGCTCCATCCCGAAGGGGACCATCGTGGCTGTGGTGTACACCTTCGTGATCTACTTCTTTCTCTTCTTTATGACCAGCTTCACCTGTGAGAGGTGGGTCCCCTGCCCGCGTTTTCCCATCCCAACCGGAGCAGGAAGCCTCAGGAGTCCTCTCTGTGTCTCTTGGCCGCTCTGCATTGATCACGTGTCTTCCCGGTGTTTTTCTCCTACGATGAGCTCCCAGGGACAGGCAGGGGGCCTTCTTCCTTCTCACGACAACCCTGTGAGGTAGAATAGCAGAGAAAGAGGGGATGGGCTGAGGTGGCCCAAGGAGTTGCATGGTTCCATGTGAGGCCTAGAATCCGGATCTCCCACACCCCAGTCGGTCCCTCTAACCCCTATACTGTACAGTCTTTGCAGAGACCCCACAGGGCAAAAATGACTGGACGGGTTGAGTTGGGAATTCACTGTCACCTGATCAGTGAGAGAGAGAGTCAGTCAGACAGACAGACACGAACGGGTTGGGTTGAGAATTCGCTGTCACTTGATCAGCGAGCGAGCGAGCGAGCGAGAGTCAGACAGACAGACAGACAGACAGACAGACAGACTCTGGGGCTAAAGGCTGGAGGGAAAGAATCCTCGGGAGGAACAGAGCCACAGAGGGGTGAATCTGCAGTGGGCAGAGTTAAGGGTTTGTTGAGAGGGAGAGGCAGCAGGAACTGCACCGAGAGCAAGCAGGCCTTCCCTCGGCCCCGGTCTGGCCAGATCTGTTTCCCCAGTGCCAGGTGTGTGATCGATACTCCAGCACATCCGGAGGGCCCCCAGATTGGGGGAGCCCATGTTCTCGCAGGTGGAACGAGGTGAAACGGGCAGTTCCCGCATGTTTTCCATCCCGCAGGGCGCTGCTGAAAGGGGACTACGGCTTCTTCCGCGCCATCAACATCTGGCCGCCGTTTGTGCTGATCGGCATCTATGCGGCCTCCCTCTCGGCCTCCATGAGCAACCTGATAGGGGCGTCGCGCATCCTCCACGCCCTGGCCAAAGACGACCTGTTTGGTGAGGTGCCGCCCCTCCACTCCATTCCTGGCCCTCCCCGTCGCCCAAACCGACGGGGACCCCTTTGGCCAGCCCCCTCCCCCTTGTTCCTGCCAAAAGCCGGAACAAATTTCTGCTTCTTCCCGGACAGGCATCGTCCTCGCTCCGGCCAAAATTGTCTCCAAAGGGGGCAATCCCTGGGTGGCCGTCCTCTACACCTGGGCCCTCGTGCAGGTAAGCCGACCGGGGGGGAGGGCTCTCTCCAGGCTTGGAAAACAGGAATGAGGGGAGGAGGCAAAGGGGCTGTTCTCCTACAGCAGGGGTGGGCAAAGTGATGGCCTGGGGGCTGTTTGCTCTTCCTCCAAGGATGTCCCCACCTTCCTCCAATCCCCCCCCCCAAAGAGCCTTTCTCTGTCTGTGGAAGACAGGAAGTGTAATTTTGTGATCAAATCGAGCAGGATCCCCCCCCCCCGAAACAAACCAACCAACAAACGGAAGAGGATTTTAGAAAGATTCTGCTTTGATTTTTTTTTTCCTTCTGGGTTTCGGGATCCCCAGTCTACTCCCACCCCCACCCCCCCTCCTGCCAATCTGTAAAGTGACGGCCGGCAAGTATGGCCTCCCCAGGCGTGTTTCGGTCTGCAGCTCCCGTCAGGCCTCTGAAGGTGCTGGAAAATAATGCCAGAGAGGGAAGGAAATGGAGAAGGCCAGCGAGAAGCAGGTGCCTTCTCCTGGATCCTGTCCCCGTGAGTCCCTCTGGCTCAGCCTAGTCCATCCATCCTGAGAGCCCCTCTTCAGGGTCTCCGGCTTCCTTTTAGCTAAACACACGCCTGCCCTGTTGCTTTCTCTTCTCCTGGGGCTTCCTGCTCCGTGGGGGGACCACACAGAAGCCCCTCCAACGTGGCTCCCCGTTGCAAGGAGAAGGAGCAACGCTGGACCAAGCCCAGACCTTAAAAAAACGAGGAGGACCGAGGCTACGAGGGCGGCCCCTGGGGCCTTCGGCAGCTGGGCTTGGCCACTGGGCCACGGTCACCTTGGGAGGGGGGTGGCCATCAAAGTGGCTCCTCCGGGACCTCGGGAAGCCCTCCCAGAGAAGGACAGGCCCCGATCCGTTCCTGAACAGGCTGTTTCCTTCCCTCCACAGCTGGTGCTCTTTGTAGGAAAGCTCAACACCATCGCCGGCATCGTCACCGTCTTCTACCTCGTGGCCTACGCCGCCGTGGACCTGGCTTGCTTGGCGCTGGAGTGGGCGTCCGCTCCGAACTTCCGGTGGGTGAACTTCAGGAGAAAGGTGGCTGGGGGTGGGGTGGGGGAGCGACCCCCCGGCTTTCGAACCCTTGGGTGGGGGAGGGTGCTGGTGGGTGGGTGTCCTTTCGGGAGGGCAAAACCCCGGAGAGCACCCGAGGGGGAGCCCGATCAAGAAGGACCCCTGCCTTGAGGCTGCAGAGGGCCGCGTATTTTAGTAAAGTGGTTGGGGGTCCAAGGAAGCAGCCGGTTGAAATTTCTCTTCCACACCTGACCCTTTCGGGAGCACAAACCCCCACAGAACGACTCCGTGGATTATTTTGAAAGTGGGCCCTTTGTGGTTCTCTCTCCATGAGGGAAGAGAACAAGCCTGGGAATATTTTTCTCCCCCCCCCATAGGAAGCTGAAGTTGTGCAACGTGGCTATGGTGGCTGCTTGGGTGCACGTGGCCTTTTTTTAAGGAACAGGAACGTGGGAGGTGTGGTTTGCATTTTGTGTCGGTGGTGGGTGTGAGCTTTGCTTCTCAAAGGGAAGGGACGTGACTTTTGCGCTGCAAAGAGGCTGGGGGGGGGAGGCTGTTTCGTTGAAGGCTTAAAGTTCAGTCGTGGGAGAATCGTGCCCAGTCAGGACCACTGAAACAGAGGCGAAGGAAGTATAGAATCGGCCAGTCCCCTTTTATCCCCCCAGTGCCCCACAAAGTGACAACAATCCTTAGCTTTGCATTCACATGTTTTAATTGTGATTAGGTCTCTGGCTGTGGACCAGAGGTTGGGAGTTCGAATCTCCCCACTGGGCCTCTTGGGGGAAGAGCCAGCCTGGGTGGCCTTTGGGCAGAAGCTGCGCGGTGGTCCCGGCGCAGCCCCTTCGGAAGAAGGGAGTGAAACACGGCAGAGCAGTCTATACTTCTTGAAAAGAGTCACCCTAAGTTGACTGGCTTAACAACACACAATGATTATTTGTTATTGTGTTTTAAGGGATTCACTTCCAGTTGGGGGGGGGGGAAATGGACATTTTAGTGGAAATGTCTCCCGTCACCTACCTGACGAGGGCCTTAAAATATTACCTGGTCAAACTGCATCGGGCGCTTCCAGACGTCCCTTTGTGGGTTCATGCAACGGGTCTTTTCCATACCGATCTCTTATTTCTTAGGGTGCCTGCCCTATTTTGTCCTTGTTCCTCTTGATTCTGCTTTTCCAACGTGGGTTTCCTTTGGGGGGGAGACACAGAGAGGCCAGAGGGAGGCAGTTAGCCAGTTAACCCGCTCCCTTTTCCCTCCCCAGGCCTACCTTCCAGGTCTTCTCTTGGCACACCTGTTTCCTGGGCATCATCTCCTGTCTGGTGATGATGTTCCTCATCAGCCCGGCGGGCGCTTCAGGCAGCCTGGGCCTCATGCTGCTCCTCCTGGGCTTCATCCACCTCCGCTCAGCGGCCTCCTCTTGGGGGTACATCAGCCAGGCCCTCATCTTCCACCAGGTATGGGGCAGGGCACAAGCGGGCCGTCATCTGGCCCGAGGGGGGCTGGCCTGAGGCTTGGGGCAGATTGGTTTCCGGTCCTCTCTGGAGGCACGAGGGGGCCATTTTTGAGGGGCAGGGGGACAGTCTTGGAGGGGTGCTGTGGGCAAGAAGCCGCAGAGATGATGGGGGCCGTAGGATGATACAGTCAAGAAGGTCACCTTAAAAGCAGGTTATGAGCTGGAGCACGAAACCGTGCCAGAGAAGAGTGCTAGAAGAGGACGTTCCTTCGGGGAACTACAACTCCCACCCGGAAAAGTAACTTTTCCAACTCCGGGGTGTGGGTGGAGAGCACTTTCTGCAGCTGGGGCTGGTGGAGGGCCCAGGGGGGCTCCCTCCCTCCCTTTCTCTCCTCCACCACTTCTTTTTTCTTCTCCTCCCCCCCCCAACCCCCAAAAAATAAGGTACGGAAGTACTTGCTGCTGCTGGACATCCGGAAGGACCACGTCAAGTTCTGGCGGCCGCAGATCCTGCTGATGGTGGCCAACCCCCGAGGGGGGTCCCAACTCATGAAGTTCATCAACCACCTCAAGAAGGGTGGCCTCTTTGTGCTGGGACATGTTGAAATCGGGGACCTAGGTAAGAAAACACACGCACACACACGCACGTGTTTCTGATGGAAGAGGTGGGGCACCTGGTTTCTCCCCCCCCCCCAAGAACCAGTGAAAGGGGAAAGTCCCTGTGTTTTGGACTGCCGCTCCCAGCTTTCGCCAGCCAGCACGCCTGGAAACGAGGCGGTCTGAGGATGCTGGAAGCTGTTGTTGCTAATGATAATTTTGCCCGAAGTGAACCAGGGAGGGTGGCGGCTCTCTCGAGGAAGTGAGCCAAGCTGCGTGCGGCCTCCTTCCAGAGTTCCCCTTCAGCCCTGGCTCTGCCGGGTGGCCCAGCCCCAAGAGTGAATGAGGTTACCCTTCCCAAGGGGCAACCTACACATAGCCCCCCAAAAAAATAGACTTACATGACATCCCGAGTCTTTGCTCCCATCATCCTCTTCTTCTACCCCACAGACTAGTCGTTCCCAACCTAGTATCTCCCAAAGGTGTTGTGCCACAGTTCCCATCGTCTCCCGTCCAGCAGTCCGGCCGGCCAACCAACCATGGGCTGGTTTAATCCAACCCTGCCCAGAGGGTCTCGTGTTGTGAAAGGCTGCCAGGGGGCTGAGGGGGCGCCTTTTGGAAAATATGGGAGCAGAGTCAGCCTTCCAAGGCTAATTTTTCTGGTCCTGCTGTTGGAATGGCTTTCTGCATATGCCCAGAGGCACCCTTTCCTTCCTGGTAACCTCACTCGTCTCAGAGCTGGCTTCTAGGGTTGCCTGTTCATGCAGCCCTTCTGGCTTGGTGGTGTTGCCGTGCGCATGCCCTGTCCTTGCGCATGAGGAACCTCCCCCCCTTCCATCTGTCGAAAGGGTGCCCACCGGCTGCGCTTCTTCTTCTTCTCGTCATCTTCTTCTTCTTCTTCTTCTTCCCTCCCGGCAGACACCATGCCCTCCGACCCCATCCAGGCCCACTACAACTTCTGGCTGAGCCTGGTGGACAAGCTGAGCATCAAGGCGTTTGTGGACTTGACGCTCTCGCCTTCGGTCCGTCAGGGGACTCAGCACCTGCTGCGCATCACTGGCTTAGGTGAGGAATGGGGGCCGAGAGGGAGAGAGATCGACCCAAAGGCGTTTCCCATTCACGGGTTGGATGTTCGTTCGCTGTAGAGCCCCCCCTCCCAGGACAAGAGCCCTCCCCCCCCCGCTGTTCTCTGTGCCCCAGTGAGCCCCAAGAGGGATCCTCAGGTGCTGAATTGGGCAACTCATCACCTCCTCCTCCCTCACCCTCATCCCCGCTCCCCCCCCCCCGCCCGGGGGCATCGTTGAGCCGAGGGCCTTTTTACGTGTGGGGATGACACAGAGGTATTGCAGGAGACAAAGCTCCCTCCACAGCCAGTGGGGTGGTTCATGGACGTGGCCGGGGGGGGGGACCCAGACAGAGAGCAAGAGGGGTGCACGAGGGAGGGGAGAAAGGCCAGAAATAAAATGAAGGAGGAATCACGAAAAGCTGTCTGTGACTCACAACGCAGGAGCTGAGTCAGAGGTTATAGAGGGAAGGGGATAAAGCTTGGCTCGAGGCTGTGACCCGCCAACCATCAGGGAAACCCAAATCGCCCTCCCGGAAGGTGTTTCTGGGCACAAAACGCCCATCCGTGGGGTTTCCTAGACTTCCTGCGGGAGAGGAAAGAGAGAAACGCTGTTCTCCCACGCAAGGGGCTTGGTGGAGGCAGAACCTCGTCAGATAAATGTGAGAAGGCTCGCCCTCTCTTCCTCTCCCGTTGGGCCTGCTGAGGCTTCCCCCTCCGGCAGCCACCCTCCTGTGCCCCTTTTTCCATGCAGGAGGAATGAAGCCCAACACCTTGGTCCTTGGTTTCTACGACAACTGCGTCCCAGACGATTACTTCCTGCAGGACCCGGCCTTCAGCCAGGCTCGGGAGAACGACGAGTTCGGGGTGGACCTGGCCGCTCTGCAGGCCCACTTTCCGCCGGTGCGGGACGGGGCGAGCCAGAAGGCCTTGAGCCCTGCCGAGTACGTCGCCATCATCTCCGACGCGGTGAAGATGCATAAGAACGTCTGCTTGGCCCGTTACTTCCACCTCCTGGAGAAGGACCTGCCGAACTCCTCCGGCTCATCTTCCTCGTCTTCCTCCTCCTCTTCCAAGCGGCGTTTCGAAGGATGCTACATTGACGTCTGGCCCCTCAACCTCTTGCGGCCCCACACCCCGACCTACGTGGACATCTGCAGCCTCTTTCTCCTCCAGATGGCCTGTATTCTCACTATGGTCACGTCTTGGAAGGGGGCCCGGCTCCGCATCTTCCTGTGCGTGGAGTCGGGCGACGTGGGCTGGATCAGCAAGGAGGAGAAGCTGCGGGAGCTCCTCACCAAGCTCAGGATCAAAGCCACCATCAAAATGGTCACCTGGAACCAAGTGGTGGCTCTCCGTGGACAGCAGCCGGCGGGCGAGAGGCCGTGGCCTGCCGAGGGAGAGGGCCGCCTTCCTCGTGACCCCGAGAAGCTCTCGGGAGAGACTTTCCTGAACGCGGCCCCTTTCCGCGTGACCGACGAGTACTTGGCCTCCGTCAACAACCTCCTGCTGAAACAAGGGGGCCCGACAGCCGTGCGGTTCCTCTACCTCCCGCGGCCGCCGGCGGACACCTCTCAGTACGAGCGGTACCTGGAACAGCTGGACATCCTGACCACGGATCTGGGGCCCACGCTGCTCATCCACGGGCTGACCCCCGTCACCTGTACCGAGCTCTGAGGGGCTCCTGAGGGTGTTGGGCAGAAAACCTAGGTGGTTAGGAATTTTTTTAAAACGGTGCCTTTGGAGTGGTCAAGGGACTTGCTTCATGGGAAGGCCTTTCCTTCTGGTCGCGTTGGTGAGGGGCTTTGAGGGGGGAGGGGGAAGCCTGGCGAGAGCATCTCTTGCTGCGAATTCCTTCTGAACATCTCTCCTTAGGTCCCTTCACGGTGCCAGAAGGGAAGCCTGGGAGCTGGCTTCTCCCTGCTTCGAATAAGAGAGAGGGGTTTTCCTCTCGACGGTCTGGGGTTTTTCTTCCAGTACCACAGGGTGTAGCAGAATTCTTGGACCTTCCGAGTGGATGGATCAAGGCCGTTTTTCTCCTCCTGCTTGGTTTAGTTTTCCTTCACAGCCTGATGTATCAGATTTTGCCTGCAACACGTTGGCCTGTTTCTTATGCAACCGGAGTCCTTCCCGGGGCCACAGATTTTCTCCCACCTCCTGGGGGGGGGAAGGAGATGAGGCTGCCCCCCCACTGGGGAAGCAGAGCGGACTCTTGGCCCAGGAGCTGCCATCCATGGGGGCTTTTCCCTCAGCTCCTTTGCTCTGTAAGCAGATGGCAACCCCTGTGCCTTCACCCTTTAAACGGAAATTCGGAAGAGAAGGTGAATCGCTCCCCGGGCCATCCCCTGTCCGGTCTTGCTGCCTTGACACGAAGACCTACAACAAAGAAGCTGTATCAAAGTGGCCCTGGCTTCATCGAGCCACCCTTTGTATGTTGTGTATGTGTGTGTGTTTCTGCACTCAGGAACACACTGGGTAAACGAACGCCACCCCTGTGCGGGTGTCACCTACCATCATTGGCTTTCCAGGAAGAACGTCCCTCTAGCTTTCCACTCGATGATGTGAAATTTCCCCATCCACGGAGAGACCTTTAAGAAGCCTTTTTCGGGTCCCGGTTTAGGTCTCTACCAGACTGTTTGTTTACTGCCCCCTCCCCATTTTAGAATGGTTCTTTAGGATCATGCGGACACCGGGATGGAGAAATGCCTTCATTAATTTCCCCCAACTGCTGCTGCTCCTTCAGCTCTTAACTCCACTAACGGCGTAGACGAGAAGCAATTACGAAAGGGGAATCGTCCCTGAATCAGCACAGGGTCCTCCTTCAGATGCTTCCAATTCGTCCCACACACACACACACGCACACTCCATGGCACCTCAACCCTGCAAGAAGGTGCTTATTACTAATCATTAACAGGCTTACTTAAAATTCGACTAGTTTTGTGCCTCTAAGGAGGAAGGAGAGAGAGTGAGAAGATACGTTTGTGTGTCCTCCTTCGTTGCCGTTCCTCCTTGGGGGAGTTTATGGTGTGCTTTGCACCTAGGAGGGTGGGCAGAAGGAGGCAGAGAGGAGGAGGAGGAGGAGGATTCCTACTTTTAAATGTAGCTGGGCAATAAAAGTGAAACGAGAACTAACAAGAGGTCTGGCTGTGTGTGGTGGTTCTGTGACTGACGGTAGGGCAGGAGGGGGTCAACTGGCCTTGTGTCCCATCATTGGGAGAAAGGGACCTAGAAATAGAATGCAGAAAAAGGCAGAAGGCAATGGAGAAAATGCCAAGTGACTGGAAGCCTTTTGCTGGCAGAGAGAGAGAAAGAAAGCCCATGGCCAACTGTGTCACCCGAGGCGGCGAGATCGGCTTCCTCAAGCTGATTCTAAAAGCCTGCAGGCCCCGCTTTGTAACTTGCAGCTTGCTTGAAAGCAAAGTGGGCTGCTTATGTACTGCCCCATAGCGCTACAGCACTCTCTTGGCAGTTTACAGCATAAATATGGAGGCTACACATTACTGCCCCCCCCCCCCGAACCAGCAAGCTGGGTACTTTATTTACCAACCTCAGAAGGATGGAGGGCTGAGTGAACCTGGAACCCGGCTACCTGGGATTGAACCCAGGTCCTGAGCAGAGTGTTGGCTGCAATGCTGCCGTTCAAGCCTTGCACTGGGAGCCTGGAGGCAGAATCTCAGCCTGACGGGGGTGGGTGAGGGGGTGGGAAGCTTTTCTGTCCCTTTGCCCTCCTGCTCTGCAATGCCCAGCCTGAATGTTTGTTTTGAGTGCTCTGATAAAAAGGGGTCTATCAGTTTTACACCGGGATCCTCAGTTGCCTAAAGATCTTTGGTTGACACTCTTTGTTGATTGTCCTCCGCCTGATCTCTGCCTGTGGTCAGAAAAGAGGCCCCTGCAGAGGTTGCCGGCAAGAAGCTCTGCACAGGGATGGGGGGTGGGAGCCCGCCTGCCGGAGAAGGCAAAGGGAGATGGATTGACTGCAGGAGGGAAGCCCCGGCCTGGCCTTTTGTGCAAGAGCTGAGCGAAGGTCAGGGATGCTGTTGGACGCCGGAGCTGCCCTTGGAGGCGAGGGCCCAAAACGAGGAGCACTTCCGCCACGGGCTCGGCAGGGGGCGCTGGGCGCGTAAGGCCACCCACTGGAAGGCGCAGTCTAGGATTTCCTGCGGAAAACTTGGTGCCGCCGCTTCCGGTGGCTGAACTTCCGGGCTCAGGTGGAAGCCTCTTTTTTTTTGTTTGTTTAAACTTCTGCCAGGGCGGAAGTGGGCGCTGCCCATAAAACCTAGTAATTAAGAGTCGGGGTTTGCAGAGGGGGGCGTCGACCGGCCTTGCAGTGAAACGTGGGGGGGGGAAGGGAGGGACTTCGGCTCTCTTGTTGGGAGAAATGAGGCATATAAATAAAACGAATAAAATAAAATAAATAATAAGATGCGATGGATTTTTAGCTGGTGGATGGTGTCCGCCCAAGGGGGCTGCAGAACTGATGGGGCTGCAGCATCCTAAGCGCGCTCCCCCCGGGGGGGTTGTAGGGAAGCAGATGATGGGATGGCTGCTTCAAAGGCTTGTTTCCCGGATGAAGCGCACACGTGCGGTTTAGGCAGTCTTGACTCCGCGGCCTCTTGCGGGGTCACTCGCTGCTCTTTTTTAAAAAAAAAAGTCCAGGGTTCTTCCTCCGCCTTAAGTGGGCCTCGATTCCACCGCGGGCAAAAAAAAAAAAAAGACGGCCCTGAAAGTGAACTCGGAAGTTCTGTCTCCAGCAACCAGCTTGTCTGTATATTTTCGTGCCTCTATGGTGCTCGGCGCCTTCTTCACCATAGAGAAGGTCGGCTGGAGCGGCAATGCGCCTTCCCTTCCGGAAGTCTTGTTCATGGCGGCTGTCGATTTCCTCCGCCTCAGCGGCCAGTTGCGCTTTCGTCTCGGATAGCTTTTCTCTGAGGATAAGTTGCTCTGGTCAGTTTTGGAAAAGAAGCATTAATATGTTACCCTCTTTGGATATATATAAAATGAGCCGTCCGTCGATAATTTCGTCACTTCCGGCTTTTAGTAGCACGTCGCCATATGGAGCGTGGAGACGTTGCCCCCCCTTTGCCGCACTAAAGATGGCTGCCACATTGCCCACTTCCGGAACCGCGCGGATGTGTGCCTCGTTCTATTTCCTCCCCACCTCCAGCCCTTGGAACGGGACCTTTTTTTCAGCCACCATTCCCAAAATCCTCCCGGTACCCTGGCCAGTGGGAGTTTTGGAAGCTGCAGTCTTGAAAAGTAACTCTTCCAGTTTTGCCCGGCCCTGTCTCTCGCGAGCCATCGTAGCACAGGGACTCGGTTTAGGTTTTCTTCAGTGGAACATTGCAGCGGGACGCTCTAGGAGTGGGAAGGCTCCCCTCTATGGTAGAAAGGACAACCCTGCCGTGCAGGACACGAATTCTGGGGAGCGGGTGTCCTTCTTCTCCTGGGGTTGCTGGACTCCAGCTCCCATCAGCCACAGCAGTGGATAGGGCTCATGGGTGCTGTAGTCCAGGAACAGCCCCCCCCCCTCCTTGAGGCTGGCCAGTGCAGACGAGGTGTCTGGCCGGGCTTATTTTTATTTTGTATTTATTTATTAGATTTAGCTCCCCCCCCCCCCAAATCTACAACGTGTCTACTCTGGACTTCTCCGCTTGCCCTTATCCAGCTGTCCTCTATACCTTCACTTCCTCTCTCCCTCTCTCTCCCTCCCTCTCTCTGCCTCTCCTCCCCCCTCACCGACCCCCAGGCCTTTTCCCAGATGCTCTGCCCACCCACCGGCCCCTTCCAGGCCAGAGCCTGGGAAATGTTTTCTTTCAGGGTTCTGCTGCCCAGAATCCCAGGGCCAGCCCTCCTGGCTGAAGGCTTCTGGGAGTCGTAGTTCACCAAGTAACTTTTCCAAGCGGCGACTCCCAAAGATCCACAGAAGCAAACCAGAAACGGCAACTCCTCTGGTGAAAAGACATGTTTGTGCTGATGGGTGTGCTGATGGGTGTGCTTCCTAGGGGGACCGGTTTGCACATCCGGGAGGGTGCGTGGGGGGGGTTCTGCCTGCTTCTGCTCGTGAAGGCTGGGGGTCAGAGTTCCTGGAGGATAGGAAGGAGACTGAGCCAGGATGAGAAAAGCTCTCGCCTCTCCACGGCCTTCTCTTACACGTTCGGTGTCCTTTCTTTCGCCTGCAGGCGCTCAAGGATGCCGTTGCTCTCCAGTATCCACCTGGGTCTCCCCTTCCCAGCCTCTCTTCAGCGCGTGGCCCTCCTCTCCGGCTCCTACCATTACTACCACTATGGCTGTGACGATGTGGACGACCGCGGTTGGGGATGTGGCTATCGGACACTCCAGACTCTGTGCTCCTGGTTGGTGGAGAATAAGAGCCCAGGAGAGGGTGTTTTCCGCCCTGTCCCTTCTCTGAAGGAGATCCAGACCTCCCTGGTGGAGATGGGAGACAAACCCCCTTTGTTCGCTGGCTCTCGTGACTGGATTGGCACGGTAGAAGCTGCCTTGTGCATCGACCACTTCTACTCTGTGCCAAGCAAGCTTGTCCACATTCCCCGAGGCCGGGCTTTGGAGAAAGAGTTGGAGACATTATATGCCCATTTTCAGGAAGGTGGGGGCCCCGTGATGATGGGAGGAGACCGAGACAACTCCTCCAAGGGCTTGCTAGGAATCTGCTCTGGCCCCAAAGGGCATCACCTTCTGGTTCTTGATCCACACTATTACGGTCGAGCAGGGTCCCTCACGAAGGATGAACTGCAAGCGCAACGGTGGGTTCATTGGCAGGAACTCGGGGCCTTCGAAGAGGGCTCCTTTTACAACCTTTGCTTACCCCAACTCTGGAGGAAAGGCTGTTCCCTGTGAAAAGGGTGTTTCCAATGTGTGTGTGTGTGTGGGGGGGTGTTCTTCTTGACTGCCTTCTGGCAACGCTGGCTGGAGAATTCTGGAAATCAGGCGTTCCACAAAAAGTAAACTTTCCAAACTCTCAGGATTCTGAAGGGCCCACATGGGACTCACACCCGTTTGATAGGGCCTAGGCGCATAGAAAAGTGTCTCTTCTTTGTTGGAAACCACATGGTGTTGCTGCCAGCCAGGGAGCTGAACACCGACCAGGACAGGGGGAGCATTCACTGACTTATGAAAAGAATGTTAAATGGCCAATGAATTCTGTGTTACATAAACTGCTACTGTTTGTTTTGTGTTCACTCAAGATGTCCAAAGTGGTCTTTCTTTTTAAAGCGTCTTTAGAAAACTTATAAGATGATGTTTTTCACAATACTACCATCGTTGTAGAAGCTAAAAAAAGGCTGGGCTTGGTTAGTGCCTGGCTGACAGACTTCCATGGAATGCCAGCACCCTTCAGGAAGTATTAAGAAAGAGTCTTGGGCTAGATAAGCCAAGAGCCAGAATCCTACCTTTCTCTGTAAGGAGGGCATTTTCATTCCCAACACCAGGAGGTTAGCTGGTCCATGAAGTGATTTCCAGAGTTTAAATACCAGAAGTGAAGGCAGGCATGAGATGGGAAACAATGTGCATGGAACTCTCATGTCAAAAGGACTCCTTCCGGTGACTTTTTCACTGTGTTCCCACCTTTTGGTCCTCCTTTTCCTGATGCAGCTTAGGTCCCTGTTGCTTCTGGGTTTTTTTTATTTTCAAAATGCTCTTACTGTCCTACCCTCACAGGGTTGGTGTCATGATAAATGGGTAGGGTGCACATTCCATGCTGCATTTCGCCTCTTGGAGGATGGGCTAGCTTTAATAAATAAATAAATAAATAGGGACAGAGATGAATGCCAGAAACTCACTGAGTCCCTGCTGAGGCTGAAATATGGACTCGCCCAGAAATGAGTGTGATTGGCACAGGGAATATGGTCAATTCTACAGAATCTGCTGTTTCAGATGCTTGAAAAAAAAGTCACCCTGGGAACTGAGAGAGAATGAAACGGGCTTTGTTTTAGAGACTTTATATTTGGAGAAGCTCAGATTACCGACATTGTGCTGCACAATTTATAGCCCCACTCAGAGAATCCCTAGGAACCCCATGACTCAAAGCTTGTGAACAGAGTGAGCAAACCGGGATGTTTGGGATTGGTGGGAGAGATAAGTGAAGGTAAGACTGGATCTCATTTCACACACTAGGAAGGTTATGCTCAAAATCCTGCAAGGTAGGCTTCAGCAGTACAGTATGTGGACTGAGAACTCCCAGAAGTACAAGCTGGATTCCGAAGGGGCAGAGGAACTAGAGACCAAATTGCTAGCATGCGCTGGATCATGGAGAAAGCCGGAGAGTTCCAGAAAAACATCTACTTCTGTTAACATGTGCTGGACTAATATTAAACTATACTACATTGGAAATCAAATCCATCTTTTCTGTAAACTTATGATCTCCCACTAAATGTCCTTTCTGATTTAGCATAGAATTTCTATTATTTAAACAACTTTGCTGTCTGCTTTCTGTGTAAGTGGAAATTGTAGGTGCAGCATTTAGCTATTCCCACACCTGCCAGGAATGACAGAACAGTTTTGATTGCTCTTCTGTTTCAAGATGGGGCATAATATAATATACCAGATATTATAGTACAAAATATAAACGTAATATGGAAGGACCTGGAAATGACAGAATACCCTGACAGAACAGAGGGCTTTTTCTTTAAAGAAAAAAATTGTAGAAGAAATCCAAAGAATAACTGACCCCTTTCTGACAAATATGGCAGCGTGCTGGAATAAATACAGATATATATTGAGTCCACCTATCTCAACATTATTACAAGCTCTGGTTGTTCAGAATTTCACCAAAACTCTTAAAAATAAACTTAAAGAAGTATCAATAGAGAAAGAGCTGGATGAAAAAGATAAAAGATATAAATACTATAAAGGAACCTTTGGGGGAAGAAGAGGAAGCATCCTGGTTAAATATACTCCAGATAGAAAGTTGTACAAGAAAAGGAGGGATTAGAACATTGACAAAATTCGAGGAGATTATCGAACAAAGACATGATCAAGAAGAAGAAAGGAAAAGGAAGGGAATAGTTAGTGTAATCTATAAAAATTTTAGTACATTCAGGATTCAGTCAAACAATGATGAAAAAACAGTGGTAGGAGGACTTGGAGAAAGAGATTAAAGGAGACGATTGGAATGAGATATGGTCACAAAGAATACTGAATAATATGTCTATAAGGGTAAAAGAAAATGGTTATATGGTAGCATACAGACAGTATTTAACTCCAGTAAGATTAAATATAATAAATAAAAATATACCATCGCAATGCTGGAGATGCAAAAAAAGAAAAAAGGGACCTATGTGCATATGCGGTGGACATGTGAAACAAGAAAGAAAGAACGGGCATTGGTTTTAAGGAAATTAGCAAAATTATTGGATGCCATATTCAGATATTGTCAAGTATTGCCCTCCTAAATATAATTAAGAATGACCATTTTAAAAAGATCAGAAAGAGTTGGTAGTTATAATGGTTACCGTAGCAAGATTAATATTTGCAAAGAATTGGAAAAGCGACAAACGAATTAACCTTGAAGACTGGTAATAAAGAAACATGGAGTCTAGCAATTAAGCAAAAGTTAACAGGTGAAATGAAAATAAGAAGAGGAATGGTAAAGGCTAATTATTTCAATGATGTTTAGATTTAATACTAGGAGCATGTCTTTTCGAAAGGCCAGCAGAAAAAAATCAGCGTATTTTTGGAGAGGAATGGGGCAAAAAGGGTGTATTTTTGGAGGGGAAAGGGGCGAAAAGGGGTACAAACGAATGTTATTGGTCCCAAGGGTGGGAAAATGTTTCTTGTGTGTTGCGTGTAGTCACTACTGAGTTTGTATTTTAATTTTGTGTCTGTTATTTGTAATGTTTTTATTGTTGTTCTCTATTTTACTATATTGCTTTTTATGCTATTTTTTATTGTTAGCCGCCCAGAGTAGACTTGGGTCTAAATGGGCGATGTATAAATGTAATTAATAAATGTTTCTTTTTATTGATAAAAAAGCTGACAGTAAATATATTTACCTGTAATGCAGGAGGCTTCCAAGGACCCTTCAGCACTGGTTTGGGATGAGGAGCCGCCTCCCTCCTACCCCTTTCTCCTCCATCCCTCTCTTGCTGATGCCACAGAAAAGTTCCTCTCTGTCTGGCAAACCCTCGGTAAAACCAAACAAACCCTCTCCTCCCTTTTTTTCAAACATCCGCAGGAATGCACCTGGTCCTGAAAAGTGGCTGCCCCTCACCCCCGCCGGTCGGCCGGCTGGTCCGTCCATCCGCAAGGCTTCCGATGTGAACCTGTGACTCTGAGCAACTGGATGGCTAGGCTTCAAACCCACCGCTTCCGTCCAAATCATGGCGCGAACTGACAGGGCGTTAGCACAGCTTTTGGGAACTGTACCCTGCAAAAAGGTACGGTACCCGCCACGCTTTGAGAAGGAGCCCGCCTGGCCTCTGGCTATGAAGGATGCTCTCTAAGATGCTGCCCGTTCGACATCATTCTGTCTGTCAACCTTAGGTATTCATTTTATCATACCTTGTTGTTATGTGTCTCCATATCTGACTGGGGGTTCCCGGTGTTGATCTAGCGCTGAAGAGGATGGTTCAATCCTGCCTTTCCTCCCGTAAGCTCAGGACAGCATGCATGGCTCCCTGCCTTCTCCCCCCCACTCTTGGTTCTCACAACACCAACCCCATAAGGTAGGCCGGGATGAGGGAATAGCGTTGCCTCCAGGTCAGCCGGTGGGTTTCTCTGCCAAGGGCAAGTTTGGACTCGGGTTTCTTCCATCTCAGTCCAACGCCTTCACTCGACAAATCTATTTCAGCGTGCGTCACAATCCATCCCCTCTGATGCGCATATTATTTGGGGCATGGATTATAGACGCAGTGGGAGGGTATTGTGTGATCTGACGTCAAGTCACAGACATTTGAAACCGATGCTGATAGCATTCACAAGGCATGTGAGATATTTAAGGAGAGGTTTTACCGTCACCACGAACCCCCCCCCCGGGTTCCTGGAGCCAAGCAGCAATTTGAACACAGCTCTCCTGGGTCCTCGTCTGACAAACTATCCACTCTACACCACGTGGGCTCTTGTGGGGGTGGGTAGGTGGGGAGGATGACAGTGGGACAGAGTGCATACTAAGATAATTAACACAGGTAATCAGCTTCCAAAATGTTGATCACATAAGCATGGTGGAACTGTGTAGCATCATTAGCTGGTGCAAAATGTCTGTCGGCTGATATAGAGGCATGCTGCTCCAAGGAAAAAGTAGGTTTTTCGGAGGCCAGAGTTTTGCCAAAGAGAACAACTTATTAGCTATACACAATAATGAAAGTTGTGTGTGTGCGTGCACATGCTGATGCCTGAACATAGTCTCACACACAGGTTAAGAAGCTCCGCTCTTTGTATAAGCCTTTAGTTTCAGACAGAAATACTTATATCCCACTTCAGTTGCCTCTTTCAGTTTCCCCTGGAATCAAGACTTTATCTGCGGACAGCTGCCTTTTAAAAACAGTTTGCTTCATAATTCAGTGCAGAATTTCCAAAACTTACGTGGTTGTCACAAATATGGCCCAGAAAAAAAAACCCAAAACTTTGTTGTATTGCTTGTTACTTTTTTGTTTTATTTTCAAAATGCTTATGATTGAGTAAAAAAAATGTGAATTCTGAGAACTTCCTCCTCCAGATTCTGCTCACAGTTCCTTCAAACATGCTGTTAAAAAGTAGCTTAAGAGAACGACTACCAGGGAGTTTATCGGGTGCTCTGTAGCCCCTGGCCTCAGCCAAACCTTGCTCTAAAACATGTTGACTACATGGCGTTCCTGTTAGAGGGTTCCAACCTGTCCCTAATGGGGACCAATCCCTCCCATAATGGTCGAGGGTCGAAGCTACTGTTTATTGCGCTGGATCCCAACCTGGGGTCCCCAGATGTTCTTGGACTGCAACTCCCAGAAATCCTGACCAGCACAGCCAGTGATTAAGGCTTCTGGGAATTGCAGTCCATGAACATCTAGGGACCCAAGGTTGGGAGGTGGTGGTTTAATTGGAATGATCAGGCTCTTGGGATCGGTCCAAATAACCTGGATCTCTCTGTCCTCTCTCCAGGCTGGCTCCACTTTCCTTACACACCTGTGTGGGTGTGGGTGAACAGGTGTGCACTCCATCCATCCATCCATCCATCCATCCATCCATCCATCCATCCATCCATCCATCC